GAATTATCGTGTTAACGTCTATTTTATATGGACTAATTTGATGTTTTCTTAAAAAAAAATATAAATAAATTTTCTCTTAAAAGTAGAAAACTAAGTAGAAGGCCTATGGGATTAGGATAAGTGGACTTCAACCTAATGATACTAGTGGAATCTCATGAAACTGGGAAGACCCTCAAGAAGATGAAGCTAAGGACCTATAGGCTTATACTTACTAAAATTAAGATGAGTTGCAGAAGTTCAAATCTCATGTGCCCATTTTTATTGGTGTATAATGCTCCATGATCGTACAAGTTTTCTTTTCTCGTATTTATATGTTTATTCCATTATTTGATGTATTGAATTTGATTGTGTACTACAAATACCTTCCTTTTTTAAGTTTCTTATATATATTGATTGTGTGTGGCCTAGTGGTGACACATTAAGCCCTTGGGAACGAAAAAAAAATCACTTTACCAAAATAAAAATTCTTGAAATTATAATGAACTAAAAATTCTTTGGTTAACCAATTATATGCTCATATATTGATTTGATTTTTTACTCTTTATATGCTTCTCCCATGTTAATATATGCTCCATCTATCCTATGAGAATGAGTGCCACTTAGAAGATGTTGTATCAGAATTTTGGTCTTAAATACACTTTGAAAATTCTATAACATGCAACACAAACTAATTTTTCCTGGAATCTAAAATCAACCAATCAAACTTAACGTTATTGCATTAATATGGTGCATTGCTTACATTTCATGATAGAGAAACATGACCTCTAGGGCTGATTCATATGATTCATCAATCCTTTTAACCTGTCAATAAACTTACCCATATAGCATTTGCATATGATTGAACTGCAAAGACTTGATATGCTTAAGTCTAGTTGCACTTTTAAGGCAAGTTTGTGAGTCTAGTAGAATTGGGCTGAATCTGTTTCAGTTCCTTGTGGGTTGAGATTTTTATACATTAAGACTCACTACATATTATTAAAAATAGATTTGAGCCACTACATAGATGATAGTTCTCAACATGGTTCAGGATTTGAGGCTGTTCATGTCTTCGTGATATGACATATATCTTTACCTTCTATGCTTCTTCTCAATATTATTTCATGGGTTTATAAATCTAAATTCCACCAAAAAATGAACAAATAGAGCTAAATTAAAACTTAATCACTTAAAAAGCCCAACCATATGATATGTTAAGACACTACTAACTTTCTTTGTATCAAACGCCTCTTGTCCTTTCTTAACTTCAGAAAAGGACCACTCCAAATTTTATTCAATCCCATGTGAATTTCTAAAATAATCATTTTTGTAACTTTTAAGTTCATGGGAATATATGTCACTATTTTAATCGAGAATTATTTTAAAAATAATCTTTTTTAGGATTTGATTAACATTTAGGGCTTACCTCTACCGAGAACTCTACTCCTGAATAACATACAAGCTTTATTCTACCTAAATTAAACAGTAAGAAAATCTTTGAAAATACACACCCAAAATTTTGAAATCATTATTCTTATCTTTGGTTTCATTATCAAAATTTTATTTTTTATTTTTTTTGGTGATATACTTTTCCTAATGACACATTTGATTTCAAAAATAAGAAAATTATATTGTGTGTGTGTGTGAGGAGTTTATTTTAAGCCTTTTAGAATGGTGTGATGCATTCCATCGCTATGGTCCCTTTCCAAAACCCACACGCCCTAGTCACTCATACACTTAGGTTTATTCAATCTCTTCCCTTTTTCGAAGGCAAGTGTCCCTATTGATAATGGTTCAACACCATCCACATTAATGCCTCTAAATTTCATTCTCAATCACCAAAACAAAAAAAAAATGTTGGCCACAATTTAGATAATTGACATTATGCCAATGCCTTCTTCAAATTTTGGGAAGGGCAATTCTCTAAAATTCTAAATAACAATTTACCTTTTCGACATCTATTTTGTAAGGGCTAATTTGATGTTTTCTTAAGAAAAATATAAATTAATTTTCCCTTAAAAGTAGTAAACTAAGTAGAAGGCATATGGGATTAGGAAAAGTGGACTTCAACCTAATGATACTAGTGAAAACCTCGTGAAGCTCGGAAGACCCTCAAGAAGATGAAGCCAATAACCTAGAGGCTTACGCTTAACAAAATTAAGATGAGTTGCAAAAGACAAGATTTCATGTGCCCATTTTTATTGGTGTATAATGCTCCATGACCATACAAGTTTTCTTTTCTTTTGTGTTTATGTGTTTATTCCATTATTTGATGTATTGAATTTGGCTGTGTACTGTAAATACCTTCCTTCTTTAAGTTTATTACATATATTGATTGTGTGTGGCCTAAGGTTGATACAATAAGCTCTTGGGAATGTTAAAAAAATCACTTTACCAAAATAACAATTCTGGAAATTAAAATGAACTATAATTCCTTTGGAGAACCAATTATATGCTCATATATTGATTTGATTCTTTACTCCCTCTATATGCTTCTCCCTTGTTAATATATGCTCCATCTATCTTATGAGAATGAATGCCACTTAGAAGATATTGTATCAAATTTTTGGTCTTAAATACACTTGAAAATTCTATAAAAAGCATTGCAAACTAATCTTTCCAAGAATCTAAAATCAAATAAAGAAACTTAAAGTTATGGCATTAATAAGGTGCATTGCTTATATTTCATGATAGAGCAACTTGACCTCTAGGGTTGAGTCATAAGCTTCATCAATCCTCTTAACCAGTCAATAAACTTACCCATATAGCATTTGAATATGATCAAATTGCAAAGATTTGACATGCTTAGGTCTAGTTGCCCTTTTAAGGCATGTTTGTGAGTCCAGTAAAGTTGGGTCGGATCAGTTTCATTTCCTTGTGGGTTGAGATTTTTATACATTAAGACTCACTACATATTATTAGAAATAGGTTTGAGCCACTACATAGATGATTGTTCTCATCATGGTTTAGGATTTGAGGCTGCTCGTGTCCTCTTGCTATGACATATATCTTTACCTTATATGCTTCTTCTCAATATCATTTTATGGTTTTATAAGTCTAAAATCCCTAATAAAATGAGCAATTAGAGCTAAATTAAAACTTAATCACTTAAATAGCCCAAGTATATGATATTTAAGACACTACTAACCTTCTTTGAATCAATTGCTTCTTTCCCGTCCTTTCTTAGCTTTAGAAAAGGACCACTCCAAATTTTATTCAACCTCATGTGAATTTATAAAATAAATATTTTTGAAAATTAAACTTTAAAATTCATAGAAATATATGTCACTATTTTAATAGAGAATCTTCTTAAAAATAATGTATTTAGGATTTGATTAACAATTGGGGCTTACCTCTATCAAGAACTATACTTCTAAATAACATACAAGTTTTATTCTACCTAAATTAGATATTAAAAAAATATTTGAAAATGTAAACCCAAAGTTTTGAAATCATTATTTTTATCTTTGAATTCATTATCGAATAATATCTTTTTTTATTTTTTGAGGAGATAACATTTCCTAATAACACATTTGATTTCAAAAATAAGAAAATTATATTGTGTGTGTGTGTGTGTGTGTGTGTGTGTGAGGATATTAGTTTCAGCCTTTTAGAGTGGTGTGATGCATTCTATCTCCTATGATCCCCTTCCAAAGTTCACACAAAAAAAAAAAAAGGTTGGCCATAATTTAGATAATTGACATTATGCCAATGCCTTCTTAAAATTTTGGGAAGGCAATTCTCTAAAATTCTAAATAACAATTTACCTTCTTTTTTTTTTTTTGGTTTTTAGTAAAAAAAATCTATCTCATATGCATCATATTTCTAATTTTCCAATTATTTGTGAAATATTTGTTCATCCATATATAAATAACACAATTAAATATTTTTTGTCATTAATAAAAGACCATAACACTCCATTAGCAAAAATATTTTGCATGCCTTCTTAATTAATTTGCCTCTATTATCTCAAAACTTGTGAACTAGTGGCATGTCAATGGGCTAAGTAACGTTTGACTTCATTTTTGTAAGCTACTGCCGACCGTTGAAAAAGGAATTCAAGTAGAAATGCACAGAGGAATATATGGTTGAAATGTACGGATTAAATTTCTGCAAAACCTAAACTAAATTGTACATAAAATATATATTGTTTTAATCAACATGTACTTGCTCTATTTTTAGTCATCACCACAATAAATTTGGGCTAACTACATTGTTATCTTACATATGACCGACATTTAGTTTTAGTTATAATTTCTTAAGAAAAAAAGTTCAAGTCTGATTACTGTAATGACTGCAATTTTGTAAAAAAATGTATTTAAATACTATTCCTAAGAAATAATTTCACCCACGTTTTGATTAGTTGTCACTCATGAAAATAAAATAAAATAAAAAGTATGACAAAGACATATTTACTTAACATTTTCCCTAAATTTGACTAATTGTGTAGTTTGTGCATTTTAAATAAAGTTAGGGCCTTATAATTTATGGAATAGATTTAACGAGGTTCGGCAATTTGCATATATCCTCGGGAGCAGAGCGGCGGCTTTCTTTTGCTTCGCAAAAAGAGTACAAAAATCCCCTTAGATTTACAATACAACATATATATACATATAACCTTGTTGTACAATATGTAGTTACAAAATTGCTCCTGCACCGTACCGGGGGCCGCTGCCCTCGCACCCCCAACCCACATAATGAAACTCCCCCCAATTGGACAGATGCTTCAACTCCACTCCGCTAGTGAGCTCCGCTACGCTCGCTCCGTTCCGCTCCAACATCTATCTCTTATCTGGTATATGAGCCATACCGAACAAGATTTTTTTTATTTTAATTATTTCTATTCTCACTTTCAATGCAGAGAAGTTTTGTCACCTGTTAAATTAACATTTACAGAATAAATAGTCGGCTGAAACTCTCTTTACCGTCGTATTATTGATGGTACACTTTTTGTTAGGTAGGCCCCTAGAACTATAAATCCTCATCTCTGAGTGCCTGAAAACAGCAAAACTCCATCTCTAGAATCGAACTGTGGAGAGAGAAAATGGTGAGAGCTCCTTGCTGTGAAGCCATGGGGTTGAAGAAGGGGCCATGGACTCCTGAAGAAGACAGTATTCTAGTCTCCTATATCCAGACTCATGGCCATGGAAACTGGAGAGCTCTTCCCAAGAAAGCAGGTGCTTAATTTCTCATTATTGAACACTTAATTTTAATTAAAATGGGCTTAATATTCATATATCATTAATTTTCAGTTAATTTTGTTTGATCTGTAGCCATTATCCTTCTTGTTTCTTTCATTTATGTTGGTTTAATGCTAACTTAATTTTACAGATTAATTATTTATTTTGTATGGTATATAGTCTTGTTTTCTTAAGTTTGTTCTTTAAAAATAAATAAAAATTAATGGTATGTATTTTTATCCATGATTCTTTTATCTTGAATTCATCTATCACTCTTGTTAATGTTTCTTTGATCCTTTTTATTTAATAACAAAAAAAAAAAAATTGTTTTTTTTTTTAATTTTAGGAGCACTCTCTTTGATAAAATTATTTATAACTATTTTTTTCTATATATTTAGTTATTTCTATAATCATAACTATTCCATATCTTTTGGCCACACAATTAATTATCTTTGTTCTATACATATACAATTTTAATATATCTCATTTCAAATCTTTCTTTATACCGAGCAAATAGTACGAGCCGAATCCGTATATGCGGATTGGTGGTATTACGGTGGCATGAATTAGCGTTATTGCGGTCATATTTTGATAAATATCATCACAATACCACCACAATATCATCAAATTTATACCTTTTCACATCTATCTTGTCTGCACGTAATATGTCTTGCTGTTAAAAAAACTCATGGATTATATATTGTTATCTTGTAGGGCTGCTGAGGTGTGGAAAGAGCTGCAGGCTTCGGTGGACAAACTACTTAAGACCAGATGTCAAAAGAGGAGACTTCAGCAAGGAGGAAGAGGAAACCATAATTTATATGCATGCAATGCTCGGAAATAGGTGCGCTTTCATTTTAATAAAAGAAATATTTTTTCTGATCCACCTCAGCTTTAAGAAAATTCAGAATATAATGCATGAATGAGACGTGAAAGCTATCGCACTCAACATTTCGCTTTCGTCAATAATAACAAAGAATACTGTCAAAGTGTATTATTGATTTCTTACTGTTAAGTTTGGATTCAGTTTCACTTTCTCTTAGTTAGTTTTGAATGGGTATTATATGTAATAAAATCATTTATTTGACGAATTAAATGCTAGATTTTTAATAGAAACATTTAACATTTGTTTTAAAACAAATAATTAATATGGTAATTGAAATTGTAATGAACTTCAACGAACCAATCTACTCTGCAATGTGTGCTCTCTATTTTAATTTAATCCCACTTAGTGGAATTAAGGCTTTATTGTTGTTGTCGTTGTAATAAAACACTACATGAAAAAATGTTGATCGTCGATCAACCCCGTAATCTGACCGAGGGGCGGACCTCCCTTTCAGAAGTTGTTCATTCGATCCTACGTAGGGATCGAACCCCAACCTGAGGGACTTACACCAAAGGCCGCAACCAATGAGTCAGGCTAAGACACAACTACATATATATATATATATATATGTATGTATGTATGTATGTATGTATATAGTCACATTTTAAATGAATTGTGAATGTTATTAATGTGAAAAAAAAAATTAATCATTATTAGAATAAAAGGGAACTAGCTAGCCATACTTTTAAAAATATTAATCATTATTAGAATAGATAAAAGGGAACTAGCTAGCCATACTTTTAAAAATAATGTAACTAAAGCTCACATTATCAATCATAGTTTCTTAAATTATTAGTAAAAGTACTTTTAATCATATCTTAATATCATGATCGTATTTTCTAGCTAGTGTGCATGATTACTGATGGTGAGCTAGAAGGATTTGTCACTAATGATAATCATTCAATTAAAAAGTTTATAATATTATTATTTAACCATATTATCTTAATATTATGATTTACATTTTAAGTACTTCATCAATAATCACAGTTGTCATATATATGTCTAATCCACTTCTGGTAAATCTCTTTGCTTTTCAGATGGTCTGCAATTGCTGCTAAACTGCCAGGAAGAACAGATAACGAAATCAAGAATTTCTGGCACACTCACTTGAAGAAACGATTAAACCCTAATCAGGACATTAAAAAGTCAAACCCAAGAGAAAAAGTCAACCCAAAGGAGCACAGGGAAAATACTTTTGAAGAGCAGAATTCACCTCTTTTAATTCAAAATGAATCACCTTTCTTTGAGATCAAAACAGAAAATAATACTGCGGACATGAAGCACAGCTTCATCAACGATTCATTTGAAGAATATTTTCCAGAGTTTGATGAGATATTGTGGTCAGAAGAATTTGCAGTGGGTGGGGAAGAAGAGGACGGTTCGATGGGTCAAAGTTTTGGTCAACCGAGCTTGAGGAATGAAGATGCCATAACTTTTTGGTTGAAATTGTTGGCTGAATCTGGAAATTTGTAATGATTCGGGCTCTTTTAGGAATTAGGCGTAGATATGTTGCTAGAAAAGCAATTTTTTTGGGGATTTTGTTCTGGGTATTGTAATTTTTGAGAATTTACAAAAATACCCCCCAATTCCTATGTATTTACATATCTACTGACACATAAGTTCTAAAAAGGTGAAATACACATTTTTGTGCATAGATAAGTTGGCATATGTGTAAAAATTGAAATTTAGGAGTTCCATATGTAAAAACATTGGGATTGAATGAGAACAAAGCAAATAAAAAATTAGCGAACAAAGGCTCAATTAGATGCAGCTGTGCTTTTCTATTACTACTATTTTGGAGTGTGGGGATATTCCATGGGGTTATAAATATATAGCATGATTGGTCCATTATATATTGTAATCAACATTAAAAGTTTACAGCTTTGTTGTCTATCACCAAGAGATTGGGCATAAATATAACGGCGTAACATTCATCTATATCCATACAAATGTTTAAAAAGAGGCATTTGATTCTACTAATTTATGAGTTCAAATTTTCAATGCTAAAAATAGTCTGAAGCAATCGCACGTTCCTGTTTAAATGAATTGCAAAAGTTGCATAGAATTTCTAATATTTAGAAGACAATATAGAAAGCTACTCTAATGAATATGTTTGTTGGATTCTGGATTGTTTGTGGTCTCACATTAACTAAACAAGAGCACTATGATAAAAAAGAAGTAAATTGAATAGAGAAAAAAAAGGATAGAAAGAGTCCTGAAAAGAAGCTTGAGGAATTTTATTGTTTAAAGAAATTGAATACAAAAAGTGTGTAATTAGACACGGTAGCCAAGATTATCGATTATAAGTCTCAGTCTTGATGCCCTTAAATGTGACAGCCTGAACTCTTACCCATCAATTGAGCTACCAAACTAGCAAACTGAGTCATAAGATATGGCAAATATCTCCTATTGTACTTTGTACTGTCTGAACCTAACTAGAACTATGTCTATCTATAACATTCTAATCTTGGGGATTCATAACGACCCAATACTTATACCTGACATGACATGCAATGACTGAATACCAAGCTTAAGCTGATGTTAGAGAAAACCCTAGGTTAGAAGCTTCCTTATATTACTCTCCTCATTTTGGAGCAAACCAAGTGCTTTTAGAACCCCGTCTTTAGCCATAGTGTTGAAACGCAACCCTTTGCTATCATGACATTAATATGCATTTTAGGTGTGGTGCCTTAGTGTCATACTCAATATCGATTGATAATGTCATGGCATTATCTTTACAATGCCACGACATCGTCCTTTCAATGATTCTTTGCCCGACATCTTGGCACTGCACAACTACCTCATGAGGCCAAGCCCATTTTATGTGATTGAGACCCACTGTATTGATCCTAACACAGTGAACCTCCTCACTTTAAGTCACTTTTGATCAAAAACCACGACGCCATATTTTTTGTGTGCGCCAATACCCTAGGTCCAGAGACTCCATCCCTAGGGTATTGGCGCACACAAAAAATATGGCGTCGTGGTTTTTGATCAAAAGTGACTTAAAGTGAGGAGGTTCAAGATGCAAATATCGATCAACATGTAAGGAAAATTTTTTAATAGGGATCAACATGTAAGGGTGCCCACCAACAAAAAATTATAGCATTTTGTCAACCCCACCGTGCTATGGCTTTAAATCTATCTGTTTGGCATAGAACCTTCATTGACAAAGCCGCGACATTGTGGTCATGATCCTAGAATCTTTAATTTCGTCTAATGGGTAATCACCACACCATATTTACTACAGTGTTACCATTGAGAGTCTCTTGCCGATTAGTCAAGTTTGGCTTGTGATGCCTATAATATAAGTGTGATGTTTATAAATTATTTTTATTCTTTATTGTAGTATTTTAATGTTCTTATGGGATATTTGTCATATTTTATACATCATATAGGAAGAATTGTAGCAAATGAAGCCTATGGAGCAATTTGGCTAAGATGGTTCAGGTGCCTCAACACCTTAGCTAGCACCTAGGTGCTCATGATGATCCCTATTCGACCAATAAATAGAGCACCTAGAAAGCTAGTTCCATGCATAGACACCTAGGTGCCCCATCCATCGCTACTTATCATGAAAAAAATAAAGAACCTAGAAATCTAGCGTCATGAGCAGGCCCCTAGGTGCCCCATCTTGGAAACATGACAACTCCCTCTAGCAATTAAATGCTCAACTCTAAATTAAGATAGTGTGATGAAAGACTTCAATCAGTACTTTCTCTTCAAAAAAAAGAGAGGCACATTTCAGAGAGTTGGAGATTGACACTTGGGACTCAAGATAACACACTGGGAGGACTTAGAAAAGATGACTGGAGAAATATATGTGAGATTAAGAGATACTTATTTTATGCCAGAGTGAGTAAGTGTGTGATTGTATCAAGCAAAGGAGGAGATTTTCTGAGGAAGATCAAATCTTAGAAGCAAAATTTCTTCCATCTACTTTTTCAATCCCATTACCTTTTACACTTGTTTTGAAGTTATTAATGCAATTTGTATTGATGTTTAAAACCATGAGTAGTGCTTAACTTGTTTACTCATTTGGAATGATTTTCTTTAGGATTTAGGGGAATCCATATTAGAATTTTTGAACTTATAATTCAAGAAGTTGTTGTTTTAACCTTTAAATCTATATTTGTATTTAAACTAATATTTAGATTATTAAAATGAGTTGTAATATAGGACTATTGAAAGAAGACTAGAAGATTAACTAGGTTAAAACACAGGGGTTTAGTAGAATAAGAATATTGATAGTAGACTCTTGCAATCTTAAAGTGGAATATGGATGCCTGAGAATTCTTATAGGGTTATTGGAACCTAACTATAATATAGGATTCCAACGCTTGTTATGTTTTGAAAGAGAGTAAGATGTAAAAGGCTCAGATTGATAATTACAGTAGAGAACCACTTGGAGAAACTTATATTTTTCTTAATCAATTCATAGGAGAATTTCACATAAATTAAAAAACTCTTCTCATTTACTTTAGATTTTTATTTTAAAATTAAGATTTAAACACTTTTAAATCCTTAAAATCTGGTAACACTTAAAACTAAACCTAGGATTGGTAAACTGAAAGATTACCTTTTTCAAAATTAACTCGTTTTCTATGGTATTAATACATAAACTCATAATCCTTACACTTCTTGATCGACAAATATACTTACATGATTGACACGTGTGTTAGTGCAAAGTGGGTCAACTTGGTCAAATGTGTATAGGCCCCCTAATCCTTATAGTTTGGTGGGCATATTGTTTTTATCCATGAGTTGTTGGTACACAGAGCTGGCAACACTCATTTTAATTATAAATTTCTAGCCAAGTTCAAATGTTCCGAACAATGTTTTTCATTAATGTTTGTAGGTTGGAGGCTCAAAATTTTATATCCTAAATCATTGGTACATCTCTTTGTAGGGGTGGTCGTTCATTACTATGACTAATCAGCTGGATTTATGATTATCATGTCACTACTAGATTGACCATTATAAGTTCATTTATCATCCTTTTTATGATGCACCCATGTTGACCGCTTATTAAAGAGTGAAGGAAATTGTTAAATCTCTACCATTATTTAGAAATGGGTACCTACATCAGTCAACAAGTCAACGTGATCATTGCATCAATCCGAAGGTCAAAGGGGCTTGCGCTTAGGTAACAAACTTTAGTGTTGCAGTGCCAACCCTTTTTTGTCTTTAGATTAGAGGGGCTTTATCATAGTCATATTTACATGACATCACAACATCATTCCTTTGATTTGACTATTACATTGATTTATAATTTTTTTTTTATTTACATATGTATTTTTGTATATGCTGAGCCTTTTAGCTCAAATATTATGCATGTTGAGTCACATATATTGCTACATGTGTCCTTTGGATTCATTGCATGTTGGGTGTTTGGTTTGCCACCACTCTACCTAGGTTATCAGTGGTAGGTACCTAGGTGCTACCTTAGTAGTGGCGCGACACCAGCTCTATCCTTCTCTAGGATAGCGGCTAAGTACCTCAAAATATTTTATATTACCTAGTTAGTGCAATATTCTATATAAATTGTATGAAATTTTGCACGTTTGATCGCTCATCTACATTTATTACATTGGCCATTTACATGATGTATTTGCTGCATTTTATTTAGCATGTTAACTTTATTGAGTCATGCCTTTGGGATTCATTTTCCTATGCAATTTATGTGTTTTTTGTGCATTTTTATGGACTGAGTGTCCCACTTTATCCAAGTGAAATATTCACTCTTTCTCATATAGGTCTAGGGTTGCATAAGTTAGCACATTAGTGGTAAGAATTTAGATAACCCGCAGATTGACCTGTGATGATAATGAGCAAGTAAGCATTACTTACTGGTTATCTTGTTAGGCAATGTGAATTATTGTATCATAATCAGATCCTATAGGATTGTTCCAAGCATAGATTTAGGTTAATGTTCATCACTTGTCAGGATGATTGTTAACTCATTCAGATGCTCGGGATGGGGCAAACTTGGTGTCCACATTAAGATCCTACAGAAAATCCCTTTGGCATCTACACCATATGTTTGCCACTTAAATGTATCTATAGGAAATGCTATATAGATGTTAGGGCCAAGGTATAGTCAAGATTTTTATATGCATGGTTATTATTTAATATGTCTGCTAGCTATCACATATTTATGTTATTTTACATGTTTAACTAGTTTAAGACTTGCACACCAGTATATTAGGTCAGTATTCTTGCAGAGTGCCAGATCTAATAGGGAGGAGCTTATTTATTAAGTTAAATTAACAAATTCTCTATCTCTCTTTCGATTGGATATAATTTATTATACGATGTATGTTTTTACTTGTACTAACTTTTATTTTGTAGGTCGATTCTTTCTTTTAGACTTTTTAATGTATGTTTTAGATTCCTTAGGAGAGTCTGTAAGAAAATAAGTTATGAGCATGAGTTCTAAGGAGCTTGATGCATAAGGATCATATGATGAGGGCTAGGAGTAGATGTTCATGCCTAGCTCGTACCTTAATTCAAAATTTATTTTGTTATAAAC